TTTATTCTTTTTAACAGTGATGTGGGCAGTCCCTTGATCATTGATAAGAATTTCGTTCTCGGAATTTTCAGAAACTACCATTCCCAATATTGTCCACTACTACTCAATATTGTTTACCAATGTATTGTTGATAAATTTGACGAAGACGACTATGTTATAAAAGGTACAAAAAAGAATAATTTTATTGCAAAACTGTATATTTTAAAAATGTGATTGAAAACGTTATACAGGCGAATAATATTAACTTGTAAATTATTATGCCTTCAAAAAATATACAATGACTTTTCGGATGGCTTTTTAAATTAACACTTAGTGGCAAGTAGCAGTCTGTAATTATAAAACCAAAATTTATTTGTCGCTTACGTGTGATGAAATATACTGTTTTAGTCACATAAGTGTTATCTTTTTAAATAAATATTCAATAACATATCGCGAATATTCAATATACATCCCTTCTTCTTTAATCTTATAAAAGGAAACGTTATACAGGCGGATAATATTAACTTTAAAAAAAAAATTTATACATAGATAATTACTTGTAATTACTTGTCGCTTACGTGTGATAATGAAATATACTATGTTTTATTTTTTAATAACATATTGCGAATATTCTTCAATATGCATCTCTTCTTTATCTTATGAAATGTGGTATGTATGTGTGATACTTCGTCCTATAACGTTGTCTTATAACGTGAAGATACGTTATGCGTTTATGGCAAACTCTCTATTATCGCTTTGTTTGTCATATAAACAAAAAAAACTAATTTAATAATATATAAACATATTGAAATCATGACTTTTAAGGGGATCCTAAAGTAGATCTGTTTTTTTATTTGGCGTTAGATCGTAGTATTTTAATATACAAAATTATGCAGTTTGTACGTAGATAGAAAACAAAGTGCATCTTAGCTTCGAGACAACATAAAGAACAATATAGAGCTTTCAGAAATGCGTTTAGAAGCCTAGTATGAATAAATAGTGTGCTGGTCAGAAGAATATTGGAATATTTCCAGCACATTATTTATTTATAGTAAGCTTCTAAACACATTTCTGAGAGTTCTATATTGTTCTTTATGTTTCCCGAAACCAAGATGCAGTTTGTGTTTTACGTAGAAACTGCATAACTTTTTATTAAGTGAATATCACTACGATGCCAAATTCGATAAAACGACGAGGTTCGACCGTCACTTTAGGATCCCCTTAAATTTAAAGGATATATTTAAATGATTAATATATAAGGATCTGTTGATGATAGGTCTATTGAAGTCAAACTTTTTCTCCGACGAGTTCCACATCTATAATCAATAGAGTTCTTATTAGTATAACGATTTAATAAAAACATAATATATAAATATAAGAATACTTACTTAATAATATTGGATTATTGTACGGCCACCTCCACGTCCACGGCCATGACCACGACCACGACCACGACCACGACCACGACCACGATTATAAAAAGCTCGAGTTTTTCCTGCGCTGGCCCATCTTTTTGGAATGTTTGCTATAAAAAGATTAAAATATAGATGTATGTGTGTAAACATGTCTATACATACACACATATATTATGACTATAATTATATGTAGTGTATGTATTTGTGACAGAATGTCGATTGTATGTGTATAAGTGTGTATGCTTGTATGTGTGTGTGTGTTTTAAAAGAAAACTATATTTTTACTTTTATTTTTTGATTCTGGATCATGTTCTTGAGTTGAAGATCCTGCTTTTTGTATATCCATTTGTTGATCTTTTTCTACAAGTTCTTTTATTTTGTTTTGTAGAAAAAGAACTTGTTCTTGTAGTTTTTTCAATTCTTCGTTTTCTGTTAAAGATAATTCATGCAACTCTCTATNAAAGTTATTTTCATCACTGGCCATGGTTGAAGATACCAATTGTCTTCCGCAAAATAAACTCAGAAATTCTTCTTCTTCTTCTTCTTTTTCTAAAAAAATAAGTACCCGGTAATAAAAAAATAAGTACCCGGTAAGAACGGTCCCATATAACACCGAAAAAGTTCAAAAATAACAACTGCGTACTTCTTCTTTCTTTGCTTCGATAGCACTTTGCCCCTGCTCGAGATTTTCTTAAAAGTGTAGATACGTAACCCACGTACTACAACCTGGACAGGCGTGAAATGCACCAATATGTGCAAAACTATTATAACTATTATTAACTATTTATAACGTAACTACGCACAACCAACCGTTATTTCGTATTAGTCATGCGTATACCACGTAATACCACGGCGGAGAGAAGTCTTCAACTCAACTGCGTATCTACATCTATGCATCCGATCGTAGCACAACGAACATTGATGGAATACATCTGTTCGTACGGCACGTTAATTGGTTAAATTTTTAGTAACTTTCTATTGTCGCGCTTCTATTGGTGCACTTTCAGAGAAGAGTTAGGCTGCGTTCGGGAAGCGCGCTATCAGCACTATTGCATTATTCTCTTTATCGCTCATTAAACATAAAACAAAGATAGAATGACGGAATAACGCAAATAGCGCGCTTCTCGAACGCAGCCTTAGTGAGTGTTATATTTTCAGATGTGACAACTTGTCAGATGTGACAAGATCAACGCTATTTAATAGCTTTGATTGTTGTAAGTATTTGCCATATATATATTGTGTTTGTGTATTCGCACGTGTGTATTTATGTGTTGTGCTATTGCATTACAGATATCGTGTGTAAATAAGGTGTATTTGCGTATTTTTCTTTTATATATACGCACGTGGTGAGTATCGTATTATTAATATATACGTAATAACATTTTTAGTTTTTATGTAAAAAATAAACTGTTTATTGTATTACAAACAGGATAACGTGTGTGTAGGACAAAGTGTGTGTGCAGTTTTTCGACACATATATATCATCAGTGGTGTTATATTTGATTGATATTTGACAACTTTGATCGGATAAGTAAGTATATCGGATAAGTGAGTATATAATGTCGCATATCTTTTTAACATAGACTACGTTTACACGTACTGGTAAAACCGTTTTAATAAAAACCGTTTTAGTACAAAAGTGGACTTAGATGTCCTGTAAACGTCCCTTGTATTCATGTCATTAAAACCGGACTTAGATGTTTACCAATACGTGTAAACATAGTCATTAGGTAAAAACCTAACCCTATATCGAATTAATTAATAAATGTGAGCCAATGAACGCGTAGAAAGTGATGATTCAAACTTTGTAGGCGTGTATAATTGTCATTTATAATTTTTTATTTATATAAATTAATAACTAAGAAAGTATTGCAAATTCTTTATTTTTTCGCACTAGTTATTGACATAATAGATGAATTAATAAATGTGAGGCAATAAGCGCACGAAGAACTATGATCGGACTCTATTGGCGCGCACGATTATCATCTGTACAGAAAAATGGCTTCTTTTATGCAATGTTTTAGCAACAAAAGGCGGAGAAACAAACAAGCGCAGCGCGACTCAGTTTCTTGCGATATTCGGCGGTATGAGATTGCAAGAAAAGTCGCGCCGCACTTGTTTGTTTCTCCGCCTTTCGTTGCTAAGACATTGCATGAAAGAAGCCATTTGTCTTTACAGCTGACAATCGTGCACGCCTATAGAGTCCGATNATTGCCTCCTGCGCGCTTATTGGATCACATTTATTAATTTATATCTCTATAATTATTGCGAATTTTGCAAAATGGTAAATATTGTCAGACACACTATATAAAATTCTTTGATACAGCCAAAATGTGAATATAGATTTAGAACAGAAATGTTGTGTACCAGATTGTAAATTCGCTATATTTATTAAATAATAATTAATTATTATGAGCCAATAAGCTATATTATCAATAAATCAATATAAACTGATAGTGAGAAACCACACGTTATTTTCACGAATCACATGTGCTTTACACGCCTACTAAGGCGTCGTCTACAATACGGTTGTAAGCCGTAAGCCCTATTGGTCAATTTCTTACGGCTTACGGCTGTATTGTAGACGATGCCTAAGTGTAATTCTATTGATTCTCGTATGCTTATTGGTTTATATTACAGTAGACTCTCGCTAGAACCAGCCTCTTGTTATGGCCGCTTTTCCCTCTACACGTCCTTTCACACACACAGAAATCACTTCCCTACCATTAAAATTTACTTTTTATTTGCAGGTTCAACAAATTGAGTACCTACAGTGTAAGAAATAAAAGTCTGCTGTGCGACTAAAATATTGGCTGCTGTGCGAGAATATAAGTCTGCTGTGCGACTATAGAAGTCTGCTGTGCGACTATAAAAGTCTGCTGTGCGACTATAAAAGTCTGCTGTGCGACTATAAAAGTCTGCTGTGCGACTATAAAAGTCTGCTGTGCGACTATAAAAGTCTGCTATGCGACTATAGAAGTCTGCTGTGCGACTATAGAAGTCTGCTGTGCGACTATAAAAGTCTGCTGTGCGACTATATAGAAGTCTGCTGTGCGACTCCAAGCTATTGGCTGCAGCAATAAATTTATTTATATGAAGTATATGTACTAAATATGTAAAGTTACTATATTTATATAACTAAAAGTAATATACATTATTTATATGTATTATTTATTATATATATAATTACATATTATTATAATAATTGAATTCGTTTTGTTCAATAAATTTCAATAAAAATATTATATTGTTATTATTCTTTATATTAGAAACAATGGTCAAAACACATATGATTTTACAGCAAAAAGACAAAGACATTATTGTTGAAGGCGATTGGTTGACAGACGTACATATGAATCATTTTAACTGCATCTTACAAAATTGTTC